AATAACAACAACAACAAACATGGTAACAAAAACGTTCCAAAAGGCACGATTCTAAATCTAAACTTCTAAAAGTAAGACAGGTGTTCAAGTAGGGTGAACGTCTTTCGCTTCATCGGATACTCCTTACAATAGTATGTCAAATCCAGGTAATGTAAAGTAATGTAAAGAGAATACTGTTGCAGGTACATACATTATATACAACAACACAAGGAAGGAAAGACATACTTTTGCACGCATTCGAAACTTTTGACCTACTTGGGACACACAAAAAAACATCTTGAAAGTTTCGGCCATTGAAACTGTATTTCGTAACACTGTTCATCAAAATTAAAAATCTACCGTTGGAAACCGAGCAATATGTTTGGAACAAATCACAGATCTGCCATCCTCAAGGAAAAGAATCCATTGTAAATTTGCCTGTATCAGACCAGACCGTGATGTCTTCATTATTCTTTGAATGTGTCCTTAATCCCTATAACTGTCCATGGGCATTACCAACGCTAAAAGAGTAAATTAAAGCAAACACAATGAAGCACCTTGCCATTTTAGCTTAAATTTGTCTTGTCGAAATGATGTTCATACCGAAATGAATACAAAAAATTTCAGCAGAACATTTCAGATTTTCTTTCAACAGAATTTGTTTACAGAGTGTTAAGATTATGGCACACTAAGTTTTGATATATGTCTACGCAAGTCTGTGGATAACTTTAAAGAATTGCTCAAATAAGACAGAATATAGACAGAAATATGTAAATAATAAAAAAAAGATAAAACTTTGTCGTTCTTGAAAATCAATTTGGAAAAATCATGATGCTCGACACAAATGTTTGGTCAAAATATTCTTCGAAACTAAGGCATTTCCTTCTCGAGTATAAAATACCAAATTCGCTATACTTAAAAGTGGGAAGTCATCTTTGAGTAAGTTAACATAGAAAAGTATAGTGTCACAAATCTTCGTTCTTTATTACGGCGTGGATTCCGCCATTTGCATTTGATGGTGTTCGCCGAATGGAACAATCGTGTGATTTCTGACAGTGGCTGTAGTTGTTGGGAATTCAACGAAATATGATAAACAGGATAAATAGGCAGACTGAAACTCCAAAAAAGAAAGTGAATTTTTCTATGGGTAAAGAGAATAATTTTTTCTTTAAAATAACCTTTAGTCATTTTACAATAAATGCGAAATCAAACGAGTTATTTCAACTTATATTCATCACTGTTGATGGCCCGGATATGAGATCGTGAGGAGACGTGTTGTTTGAGGAATCTGTATTACCTGAAGAAAACCCACGTGGTCAGGCAGGTGACCCCATGCTTTTCAAGTCCGTTCCAGGAATCGGATCCCGGGTGTCTACATGGAAGCATAGGGCGAGTGCGTTACCACTGCGCCATCCGACTAACCATTAACAGCAGTAAAGGACGGCTAATGTTTTAGGAGGAAATTTGTGTTATATTTTGTTATTTCCATTCATCCATTTTAGTAATGGCAATGGATGAGGCGCAGTCAAACGTATGATCCATCTACAGACAAAACATTATACGTATTTTTAATGCATTTAGTACGTCCCCGTATTGTATAGTAAAGAAATTGTCTGTTTTCTACTTCAAATTGACGCTTATAAACGAGACAAAAACAAATTATTCAGTCGTCCTATATAATTTTGTTAAGTTTCTTTTTTCAAGTTTCTGCGCCATTTTTATAAGATAATTAATTCATTAGTTGAAAATTAGCATACAAACTAAATAAAAATTGCGGCGATAGCTTAGTACCCTTACGTATAGATACGAGGTGCGTGGTTCGAATACTCCCACCTGTTGCAGCTTTTGTTTATTAGGAAGACGAGGAACAGACAGAGAGATCTATACCGTCGCGGTTTTTCCCCTTGGGCAAAACATTCTACCTTTTTTCGCTGTTGATTGCATGTCACGGGCATCTAATATATTGTTGTTTGATGTAGATACCAGACCCTGGTTGTTCCAGGGGCGATTAACCCAGCAACTTAAATGTTTTCCGTCGTAGTTCGGACTGAAGTTACGTAGTATGCTATGTGTACTTTCATAACTGATTGTCTTAGAACATTGAACAGGACATAAATAAAGCCGACACAATGAAATTTATGTATTCTTTCAACGTTTTTATAAGAAATAAAAAGATAATTAGTAGATTTTCTTATAAATGCACTCACCAAAAGTTATTTGTATCAACATGTCTACGCAAGTATACATGCACCTTTTTATCTATTACATATGTAATTAAATTAAACATTGTCATTCCATTACCTCGTGTACATTTATAGTTTCACTGCATGAAGATAATTATACCGATTCAAAATCTGTACCCGGTGGATAAGACTTCCAAGACACTTTTTCACAGAAGACAAGGGTTATTGTTGTTTTACGTCCTATTAACAGCCAGTGTTAATTAAGGACGGGCTTGGCTTTGACGGCGGAAGAAAGCCGGAGTTTCCGTAGAAAAAAACACCGACCTGCAGGCAATACCTGACGATTACCTTAATGATAGTTTTCATGAATAAATAATTATATATATTATATATATAAAGAAGAAGGCAAAAAAGGAAAGATATTTATATATATAATTTGAAATAAAACTTCGATGTTTTTAAACACAGAAATGAATATTTCACCAACTTTACATGGAAATCACTGGTCGTAGATTCTTTGTTTGAATCCCATGATGAACCCAGGTTCTTCATGGCTTCTTTTGTCACAGTGTTTGGAGATTGTATTTTAACAAATGCTTAAAAAACTTCAGTCCTGACCTAGATATTATTTTTACAGTCAACACTGAAGAATTCAGAATTTCTCATATTGCAGTTTTCTGAGATTTAACAGATGGAGGTGAAAAGTAATTAATCCCACGTAAGGAATTTGGTAGGACTTTGCATTAATCTTTGTTGAATTACACGCGAGTTTGAAAAATATCTTATTTGAAAAAAAAAAAAATTGTAAACTACATTCCGTATATCTGCTGTCTAAATCTATTTGGACTATTAATTGAAGTTCATTGTTCAAACGATATTGTCTTTTCACCAATATATCAATATATTTCTAATTTTCTCATACTTAGGCGGTTTTGTTTTCTGGAATGTTGTCAACATTTTTTCACTTTATCATTCTTACGCTAAATTTTAGAAATGTTTTAATGTATCTACATTTTGGAAATTTTATAAAACATGTGATTTTATGAAAAATTCCTCTTGAAAACAGCTATTATATCGTATGATGGGACATTACGTACGTAACAAATACATTGTGAATATACGTGATGCTGTTTCATTTTAAATGTCCAATAGCAGTGAAAATAAGAAACTCACAAAAACAGAGTGACGAACAGTAAGAACAGAATGAATACATTTACAAAGCATACGTTACAATGATATGGCGATTTACATGGACGTAGTCAACTAAAAGGACGGATAACGTTTAGAACTAAAAACAGCACTGATCACGAATAACCACATCTGCATCTTTTATGAAGTTATGCTGCCATGAACTGCAATCAATGAACTCAATTGAACCTGCGTGATCCGGGCGCACTGATATCGTGAATAAACCATCGTCAAACATGTTCACAACTTCCGCGCATGTCCTTTCGCTCAAAGATCCAATCACATAGTCCCTTTATGGTGATTTGTTTCTGTGAAATACAGTTATTTATTCTTAGAGACGATAGGATGTATTATTACTTCTCCATAGCCATCATCTTTGAAAATTCTGAAATATAAAAGAGTTGATTGAATAATATCAGTGAAAAGATCGCTCACTGCTCAGATAAAAACATGTCAGCAATAATTTGACTAAAAAGTAACTGGAAAAACACCAGAACTTGCGTCTTCTATCCAAATTCACGCGACAAATGTTTTAGTCTCCAATTTTATGTACTTATAATCTACTGGCTTTAGCTGAATTTTATATTTTTTTCTTAACCAAGAAAAAAACTTAAATCTGTTCTCGGTCTCAATTCTGTCATTTAGACAGATATTTCTAAAAATAAAAAATAAATTTAAAAACCCAAAATATCAACTACACCATCTATATGTTTCTTTGTTTAACAGAGATTTTTGATATTTTATGATATTTTAGCACTTCCACTCCATCTCGACAAGAATCTGTTTGACAAAGGAGCCATAGCGGGACTGTTTCATGTGCGCTAACTAACGACACACTTAGATTTAACGATTTGGAGAGTTTCCCATTTTGTTAGTAGCATAATTTACAACTGCAGTGATGTTTGTTACGAGCGCTGGTTCTGTTTTAAAGTACTATATGGATTGTGCTCAAGAAATATTTTTGATATTATATTTGCCCGCCTTCAAAATCGATGACGATGATAGTAAACAATAACAAATCAATAACTGGGTGTTCTAGCGTTTATTATACCTTATATATAGACAAAAACAAGGTGTCTTACAACCAACCCCGCCCCCTTTCCCGCTCGCGCAGAAAACGAAATAAATAAATAAAATAAATGAATAATAATAATAATAATAAAAAAAAAAAAATAATAAAAAATAAAAAAAAAAAATCTTCTGGCGCTAAAATAAACAGAATTGAAATTGAGTTGCACGGATTCAATAAAGTTCGGTATACAGAATGCCTATATTGGTATATAGAATGACCACTAGATATTAAAGGTGAACTGTCCAAATTAAAATAGCCGCGTCACAAAAACCGAAGTGTCCGGAGAAACGCAGAGAGAACTAAACTATTACTGTTCAAACCAAAGCTTTCAGGTAACTGCGGTTACATTGTGTATCGAAAAAAAAAACTTCCGAATGAGATTAGCGTAAACCATCCTCGAAATCCAAAGAATGACAATCATATGTGATCTTCGGTAAAATTTAACCCCTGGAAATCCGAAGAGAATCACATTTTCCCCGGTAATCAATATATATGGAATTCAATATATCCGGACTAACACATTTTCATTATAACTTATCCGTTTTAACGAGTTTGAGGTAAATTTTGATTTAAAATACCTTCATAATTAATTTGTCCGTCGCCGTCTAAATCCGCCTCTCGGATCATCTCGTCGACTTCCTCGTCTGATAACTTCTCCCCGAGATTTGTCATCACGTGACGTAATTCTGCCGCGCTGATTTGTCCATTTCCATCCTTGTCGAATACTTTGAAAGCTTCACGGATTTCTTCTGTGGAGTCTGTTTCGTTCATCTTTTTTGCCATCATTGCGAGGAACTCATTAAAATCTATGATCCCGTTACCTGGAATAAACAATTTGTTGTTGTTAAAGAAAGACAATCGAAACGCGGCAGGAAGAGCGGGATTTTGTTGTCTCTACGTTGGTTTGTACAACCAACCTGTAACATATTTTAAGCTTTCAGGTACATGTTCTTTTTTTATCTAGACCTAATCATAGGAAGTGCGCTTTACATAAATAATTAAATTAAACTATGTAAGTAAAGTATCTACAAAGAGAAATGCATTCCGTTTGGCCAAATTTGTTAGACTTATTGGTCCTACGCGAATACATGTTAACTTAATGCTAAGCTGGGTTTACGACCAGGAGAAAATGTAATATCGGTCAGCACGAAAGAAAAGAATCAAACCACAAGTCTGAGCGCAAGAATTTATAAACTTGTCAAAATGGGGGGAAATCCAGGTTTTTATTGTTTAGCCCAAACGAACATACACATATCGCAGTTGTCTCCCTTCATATACTGGGTTTAAGAATATTCAATTTTAATAATTTCAATCGGGAAATGTCCGTGCAATGCGTAGAGTTAGTTTGCCACACAATCACAAAACAACAGCAACGACGACGACGATGACAACAAGAAGATCGACAACAGCAGCAACAACAACAAATGATAGTCGCAGATCTATACTAACGCAATCTCGTAGATGAAACTCTCTTAAAAACCGTCTATACATTTTTGTTTGTACGACTGCTTTCTCAAAACCAGCGAACCTTACATATATAACCATTTTATCATAGTTTGTATATCTCAGAAGCAAATGGAACTGAACCCTGGTAGCCCTAGTGAAAAGCGACAGCACTAACCAATGTGCCATTGGATCCTGATCTAGAAATATACTCGAAAAGTATTACTCCATCAAAACGAATACGATAAACTGTTTCTCCAATACATATACTTACCATCTACATCGACCTCGTTAATCATATCTTGGAGATCTTGTTCGTCTGGAGACTGACCTAGTGATCTCATTACGGTCCCTAATTCTTCCGTTGTAATGGTACCGTCGCCATCTTTGTCGAACAGGCTGAACGCCTCCTTAAATTCTGCCGACACAAATTCCGTGTATCATATATACAATTTCTGACGGATTTTTCCACGTGCATTTTCATGACAGTGTTGTTAAATAAAACAATTCTCGAAATTCGATGGATGAGCGACTCTTTGATTACAACCACAAAAATTTAAATTCAAAGAATATGTAAATGAAATTCAATAAATGATCAATCTAGAAGTTATGACGTCATTATTTTTGTCAATGAAGCTTTTTTGATTTTGCCGATTACACTATAAAAACTGTAGATAATGGATAATTTATTTTAATATTAATCGAGTTGTTGTATCAATGAGACAGCAAAAGTGTGAGGATTGTATATATAAAAATCGAGCTATCTTGTTATGGCAATTACAGTCGTTATAAATGAAAAAGAATTTTCAGACAAAAGTCTGTGGTATGTTACTTAATACCTAAACAATTTTACGTTCACAAACGAAGTATACCCTTCACCGTGATTGAATAATGATAACACAGAAAAATATCAGAAATTTCAGTAACGGAATCTAAATTTCTTGATATGTGAACAGATTTGAAAAGTTTTTATTGCGATCAATTCGTTATGAAGTTTTGTGATAATAAAGATAAGATACCTTATGAATACGTCTCGAATATTGGTTTCATTGTACATCATGTGTTATTACAATATCGTGATTAAAGTTTGGCTTTAGATAGAACGGTGAAGGTTGTACACAAATATTGTAAATTCAGGAAACAAATTGTCCATATTAAATTCCAATCATCAACAAATAGGACCACGGATGATAAAATTAGTATCAACATACCTTTTATTTGTTCAGCCGACAGTTTTTCAGTCTGCAATGAAATTATAATAGTTTTTTTTAAATAAAATGTTGAAGAATCATCTATATTTAAGTAAATCTGGTGTTTTACATGGATGGCAAATCACACTCCTCAATACTGTTATTGTTTGTGATTTTTGTGATGTGCATGCTGATGAAACAAGACGATTCAAGGGAGACTACCCAACCTAAAGTGCGTATGATTAAACAGTCACATTAATGTTAACTAATTTGATTAGAAGTTTCCCTAGTCACGTATACATTGAGTTACAGTACTAACATCGTTAACACAAAAATGCCTTATGTTGTAGAATTTATGTTTGTATTTACATGCGCTCGTCAGGTACACGATGTTTCTGGTACGGTATAGCATTACGTTTACACTAATCAAATAACCTTATAATTTGAAGTGAATGCTGCTTGGGGTATAATGATAAACAAATAAAGATAGATTATGATTCTAGTGGATTTCGTAAGTAAGACTTATCTCGAAATTAAATGGCAACTGCTAAACTTGAGCCCCGCAAAAATATGTAACTTTACAGAATTCAGGATTCTGGTTGTTCGAAATCTCCCTTCCATCACCCACTTCCCCTTCCAAATATGATTCAGATGGTCGGGTGGAGCAGTGGTAACGAAATCGCCTTTTAACTAGCATCCGAGATTCGATTATCGGAACTGACGTGAACAGGAAAGGGGTCACCTGTCCGACTAACGTGGGTTTTCCCTGGGAAACCAGTTTCCTCTCACAGTAAGATGTCCCTTACGCGTTACCTCCGGGCCAACAAGAGGGATTAATAAAGGCGGACAGTCTTATTTCACAGCTGTTGTAAAATGAATAGTTTGATTTTTTTTTTGTTTAAGTATGTTTCGTCTCGGTATCTGATTTAGTACACCGAGCCAGCTCTGTCGTTCTCGTGGAGTCTGGAAGTCGTAAATCTTTCCCGTTAAAATTACTTGGATACGGATGCTGACGTTTTTATTTCTATTGTCGAAACTGCCTAAAATTTCGGTTTCGTTATTGTAATAACATTCCATATGTATACACGTACTAAAAAAACTCCGGAAATGAAACACAATAATATACACGCACTCTCTACCTACAGTAAGCTCTTTAATCTATTATTAAAAACTCGTTTTTCATTACATGTCTGCATGTATCGGCGTCTTCACATATAGTCATATAAAACTTACAGGGTGGAATAATTCGGTGAGAGAGATTAATGTTTACACACCATTTCCAGTCATGCGTGAAATCGTTTTCAAGAAACTTCTTAACTTGACAGCTGTATTACTTTACACGCGAACGAGACGAGAGATGTCCAAATGCTATTTTGAATACTCATTATAAAAAATAGTTAGCACGCGTACCTGCTCTAATGTTTGGTCGTATGCTCGAAGTTTAGTTTGAAAAACTTTCTTTTTAATATTGAAAAGGTTTTTGTCGTATTTTGACATGCTTCTTCATACTGAGTAGACTTGTTTATTCCCTTTTTTTGCAAAGGTTTTTTGTTTTTGTTTTTGCAAAATTTCCTTTGTATCTAATACATTTGGTTACCTAATATCGACAAGTTTTCGAAGGATGGAACAACTGTTTGATGTTATGTTCACCAAATATTCCAGAACTGATAGACTAAGAACATGACGTATATATAAAACTCACCCAAACCTCTTTCTCGATAGAGGGATGGATCCTCCATCAAGGTCAACAAGAATGATCGAAACCTTGCTTCTTAAGTGTTGTAAAGTAAATAGGGTTTGTATCTATCTACAAAGACCTGATGGATAGGAAGGGTAACCTTCATCTACGATATCCGCTATGTAAACATACATGGTGAATCCAAGCAGGTCACGTCATTAGAGAATCTATTGTTTTATTTAAACATGTTTTATTGAACATAAGTAGCAATAGAATTGGGCACAAGTATAACAACTTATATAAAGCCGTTTCCAAACGTATTCATACACACATATATTTACAAGGTGGCAGTATGATGTAATAACAATGAAACAATTGTAAACAAGTCATGCATCGACAGGTGATACACTGTCCACATGACTACACTTCCTCCTTCCTTGTTGCTTTCTGAGGTATCCGTTTCCACTTGTTCGCTTACACAGTGAAGGAGCAGGTACATGGTGACTATTTATTGGCTGTTCATATTATTGGATTTACTCCATCGTATAAGCTGGATTTGTCGCTCAGTATAACCGGATGTTAGCTAATATTGTGGTGATGTACATTGTAAATATAGATATCTATATATTTACAGTCGATAAAACGGAAGATGACCTTGTGTCAACTATTCAAATAAATTCTGGCGAGTTTCGTGACTTTTTTTTCGGATAAAATTGCAGGAGGCACTTCTTGAAAACTTCCCGATGATGGGATTTGCCAGTATGTCAGTTGTTATGATGTCGACTATAATCACAATAAGAGACACTGTTTAAATGATATTTGACACATGAATGTGAACACATCTATTCAGTCTAAAGCAAATTGGCCTACCGCAATTATGACTCGCTTAATTTAATGTTCTTCGTTAATATATATGTTTCATTGAAGTTCTTTTCCGTATCTTGTTCATTGTGCCTATCAGACGGTATAGTCTACCGAAGTTGCAACGCCACGTAAAAACACAGGTGATCAAGGCTTAAGTATAAACTTATGAATCTAGTAGAGACGCTCTCTGGATTAGTCTCCACACCAGTGGCTAATGGTGCTGTCTTGCCATTACTACATTTGGCGGTAAATGGCCGGGTATTGTTTGTCATTACACATGTTCTACAATAGTGCCATGTTTCAGTGACAAATACTAAATGACATTGAGAGGATTGCACACAAGCGAGAAGAACACTCTCATACAAATTAGAGCTATCCATCCTTCTCGGACTCATCAGTGATGCTACATTATACATCCGTTTCGTCTTTCTAGGCCTCGTCAGTGATGTTAAGGGCCTTGGTTTTCAAAGCTAGTAGGGGGCATAAATTCAAAGTTGCTACTTTAGGGTTACAATAGTATCGCTATTCCTATTCAGGCTTAATTTACCCCTACAAAAAACACCAAGAAAATATCAACATCTCAACATAATCATAATTAAAACCCCAATTCCATAAAACTATAGCGAGATATTAACAAAAGAAAGATTTACATAGAGACTCCAGAAAAAGTGCAACGCGAATAAGAGCAGGTGTTCCGGAAGAATAAGTGTATTCTGTTTCATCGACGACACCTACCATGTAAACCTTGGCCAATCCAGTATTGTCACATTCTCAAATGAGAACAAGGTATACAACAACAGGCAAATTAACGAGCATCAAATTCGTCCAAGTTCATGTCGCACAAATAAATAGAATATTTCTCAATGAGATCACTATGGCGAACATAAAACTTTCCCATAATTTTCATCAACCTCCATCTTTTGAAGCCTTGTGTTACGAGTATGTCAGTCAGTTGACGACTTCTTGCACGGAAATCGTGATAATGGGAACAGGCCTTTGAATATCGAATCAACTATGACATGTGAATACTAACGGTTACAGATGCAGGGATGTTACTTTCCAGAAATGGAAAATTCACCATAGGGAAATTTAAATAATCACGTTTACCATATAACATAATAGAAAGCTGTCTATCTTGGTTTCGTTGTAGGAAAAGATCATGATAAGCAAGTCAGCCAACGGAGGGGCGTAGTTGGTTCCAATAAGTATGCCAATAGTCTGTTGGAAGATCTTACCACCAAACCAGACAAAGATGTTCTCAAGCAGAAACTCTATCATGTTTTATGATTTCGTCCTCGATATCTGGACGTAATTTTTTTAGGAAATACGCTTCAGTATAGTTCATAACCATATATTTAAACCGCCGTTCACTTTTCTTGGAGAAGAAAGCTCTCATAACAAGAGAACGAAGGCGTTCCTTCAGTTGAGAATGGGGTATGGTGGTGAACAGGGTGGAAAAATTGTATGTTCTCATAGGAGAATTTTTTCTAGAAGAGGGTGTTGGAGATTGGTCAAAAGCTCTATGGAGTTCTTTTAAATCCTCGTACTATTAATTCCACTTCTTGAGGAAACAGTGTCAAAATAAGACAGTGACCCCAGATTTGACAGTGCCACAGAATGGTAGTTA